TCTATTTAGTATTTTCTGATCTTCTAATCAAGAAATAAAAAAAAGGCCTTGCTGGTGTGGCTCAGTGGTTGAATGTCAACCCATGTACCAAGAGGTTGCTGGTTCAATTCCTGGTAAGGGCACATGCCCTGTGCCCGATTGCCAGTGGTGGACATGCAGGAGGCAGCCAATCGCTGTTCTCTCTCATTGATATTTCTTTCTCTCTCTCCCTCTCTTTTCCTCTCTTTCTAAAATCAATAAAGAAAAACATTTTGAAAATAAATAAATGGCTCAATATTAATCATAAATTAAGAATCCTTTACTTTTTTTATGCATTTGCTTTTTAAATATGTTTTTATTGATTTTTAAGGGAGAGAGAGACAGAGACATTGATATGAGAGAAAAACATCAGTCAGCTGCCTCCTGATTGCCCCCTGCTATGGTTCAAGCCTGACCAGGAATCAAACCAGGACCTCTCAGTCCATGGGACAATGCTCAGTCCACTGAGCCACACCAGCTGGGCTGTATTTGTTTTTCTTAAAAGGAAATTGCACTTTGGAGTAATTGTTTATAACATCAAATAATTGATATTATACACTTTCGTTTTATATTGTTTGTTCTAATTTAAATATTTATTTATTTTTGCCTAAAACCCACATTATTAGTTTTTTTCTAAAATGCATGTATTTATTCTCCCAGTCTATTAAAAACTCTTCTTGTTGTGGTAGAGGAGGTCAGGAATATTGACTCCTGATTTTTTACTGGAACATCTTTGGAGTTTTCTTTATCCTCGTTCAGTGAGAGTGGTTATGGATCTGTAGGCACTGGAAATTCAAATAACTATGTTTCCAAAAATTTGGTAACTGCCCACCTAGCAATAACAACCAAATTTCAAATAAAAGTTTTAGTGGTTAGACTCATACTTATACTCAATATGTGCTGTTGGAAATAAAGGCAAGAGTTAGCTCTCAGGAGTATCAGAGGCAGGAAGCTGGACATGAAAGTTTAAGTCACTAGCCCTGGCCTGTCTGACTCACTGGCAGAGCATTGGCCTGAGGACCAATGAGTCCCAGGTTTGATTCCAGCCAAGGACACATACTTTGGTTGTGGTTTGTCCCTGGCCCTGGTTGGGGTCCTGTGGGAGGCAACCAGTTGATGTGTCCCTCTCACATGGATGTTTCTCTCTCTCTCTCCCTTTCTATCCCTCTCTCTCTACCTGAAGATAAATAGAAAAATATTCTTGGGTGAAGATTAAAAAATAAAAAAAAAAAAGAAAGCTAAAGTCACTAGCTTGAACATGTCATTAAGCATTTTGAGTCTTTGAATCCAACAGTCAAATATTAACTATGAAATAAGTCATACATCTGGGAGTATACAGGAATTGATTTTGAAGTATTCTTCCCAACAGAAAACCAATTTTGTCCACTGTGCATCCATCCCCGAAGGTCTCAGTGGGAATTGACCCATCCTCATCTTTAGTGGAAGGCTTCATTGGTGACCCAATTTGAGTCAGGAAGCTGTTAGGAAAGGTTCATTCTATACTTTTGAAAGTTCTTCCTTCCTTTTTTCAAAGTATAGGAAACTGAGGAGTGGACACAAATGAGGAAGCATGTCAGTTAGACAACAGCTGGCCACTATATTAAGTCAGAAGTAAAGCCAGTCTCATATTAAAGCTCACTTTGTGAAGAGCAGAATGGAAAGACAGAGAAGTCTAAGTGTTTTATGAGAAGCCAGCTGACCTTTTGCATACACAAACATCCATTCGGAAGCCCACCTACTCTTGAACTTATAGTTGCTTAAACTAGTAAATTATTTAGTGCTGAAGCTATTTGAAATTGGGCTTTCTGGTTATTTGTACCAAAAGCATACAAACTCATTCACAGGTATAATTATAATATGAAGGCATACAATTCAGATGAAGGTTCTTCTATTTGGAAAAATAAAAACCCAGAGGCAAAATGTATTATTTAATTCCAGGTAATGAAAAATGTATGGAATTATTAATTTACACTAGCCCAGTGATTTTCAACCTGTTTCATCTCATGGCACACACTAATTAATAAAATTCTGCAGCACACTACAACCTGCATTACATTTTTTGCCCATCTGACAAAGAAATTGCTATAATTTTGATTCACTCACACTGGACGGCTATTGTGTTGGGTGTTATCATTTTTTTTTATTTGACAATCTAAGGGAAAAGAGGTCAGTGCCCCTAACTAAATAGTCAGGCATTGCACGATTTAAAAATTCTTGGGACACACCAATTGAAAATCACTGCTCTTGCCCCTCATTGCTGAAAATAGTCTCTGTGCTTTTCGTTACATCATCATTCTTTTTATTGGATTAAGATTTTAGCTATGGGAGGTGAAAATAGAGTCTATGTTCGTGCATTAGAAAATGCTACAAGTAGGAAGTTTATACTTATACTCTATATAAAATATTTCCTGATTTTTTATCCAAATGTAACAGAATGTAATTTTCCAAGCACATTTAAACAAAAGCAATTATATTTTTCATAAGAAATAGTAAATCGTTTCACGTGCTTAAGAAAATCAGTTGCTTGGGATAAAATAATGAGCTGAACATGTATGACTCTTGACCTCACGTAGCTTACTGATGAGTACATTATATGTGGGTTTTATAGAGAGCACTTGTCACATGATGACAAAGCCACTTAATTTTTTAAAAATTTAGCCATGTAAATATATACCTTAATAAAATTAAAAGCTTTTACATTAGCTCTTGTTAATTGGACAATATATTTCTTTCTAAAGTACTTAAATATATATACTAGTTTCTTTATTTCACCAGTGTTGGGTGTATTCATGTTGTCATATTAGTCTTTGAAAATATTTTATGCTCTTTCATGTTCTGAACTTTAAGTCAAATGATATTTGACCCCATTCTCAATTCACTCAAACAAATGGCCAAAACCTTTTCAAATTACTTAATGTGTGACATTCTGTTACACCATGCCTTTAATATCATCAGTAAAACTTTACAAGGAAGAGAATTAATTATTCAAGGGTCAGAATCTTTGCAGTAGTATTATCAGATTAACATCAGGCAAGAGACTCCCAAAATGCTTCTCAACTTCAACATTCTTTGATTGTATCACTTATTTTTGAGGAGTTACCAGAAAATGAACTACTGCCTGAAGAAGAACAAGTATATAAATTATAATGTCTCAATGAGTGGCTGATCTTGATTTCTAGTTAAAATCTCTAATAAAAGCTGTTGAGTTGCTCTATAAAAAAACTTTGCAAGGAAGAACTATCTGTCTCTATCACAGATATAACAACTTAAACAATTAGAATGTCAAAATTGATAGCACATTATTAATATTTTCAATTTTTGGACCACCTTCTCTAATAAAGTACTTGATTTTAAAGAACACACATCTTTTTTTGTGTACAAAGCACACATATTTTCTGGCAGTATTTTCAAGGCTTTTTATTTCTAGTTAAAAAGGAAAAAATTCTTTGAGGTTTAGCTAATTATTTTCTTAGAGTGTTTAACAAGTTTGAAAATTTAGCACCATGAATATTTCTAAAGCTTTACTGAAAATTTAAAATAAGAAAAATATTCTATATCAAATGTAAAATCTGTAGAAGTTTTAAAGTAAATATTTTTTTTAAAATCTAACCATGATGGACAGCAAACTAAATAAACCCAGAGACATAGAAGTAGGGTACAGACTGACAAACCTCAGAAGAGGGGGTTGGGGGGAAGGAAGAGATAAACCACAGAACTTATATGCATGTATACGTAACCATGGACATAGTGACAATGCTGCGGGTGGTGGAGGCGGGGGTGGGATCGGGAAAAGGGTGTCAGTGGGGGAAAAAGAAGAAACATCTGTGACAAAAATAAATAAATAAATAAATAATTTAAAAAATATAAACACAGTTTAATGAGTAATCTCTATTAATTGTAAAAGAATAAACAGTTTGGAAGTCTTCAAGGAGAGAGAATCAGTGCATGTATGTGTGTCACAAAGGAGCAGAAGGAATAAAGTGAAGGAAAGGAGGAACTCAAATCCATTGTTACAGGAATATTAACCAACAGTCGTCAATTACGTATTTACCAAAGAAAAGTAACTTTTAATAATATAAAATATCCCTGACCGGTTTGGCTTAGTGGTTTGTGTTGGCCCTTGAACCAAAGGGTCATGGGTTTGATTCCCAGTCAAGGGCACATACCTGGGTTGCAGGTTTGATTTCCGGCCTAGTCAGGGTCATGTGGGAGGCAACCGATCGGTATGTCTCTCTCACATCAATGTTTCTCTCTCCCTCCCTCCCTTCCACTTTATCTAAAAAATCAATGAAAAATATCCTTGATTAAGGATTAACAAAAATATATAAATAAAAATAAAATAACTAACAACTTATTCAGAGAAATAAGTTAACTAGGTTTCAGTTAAGCATATATTTATAAATTTAATAAAGTATTTTGTTCAAAATGTCTCCATATTCTACTTGAAAGATTAATGCCAATTAGAATAATTCAGAAGGTAAAAGAAACAAGAAAGAAAAAGAGAGACATTTTTTAAAGAAGCTTAAATAATATAGTGTTGTTACAAAAGGGTGATAATTCCTTTAATCCCAATAATTTCTATTAGCACTCAATAATGACACCATCAATTTAACAATAATGACATAAATCGTGATTTTGTACCAACATATTACATATGCAGAGAGTGACATGTTTAGGCATTTCTGTTGACCTGTAACATAAAATCTAAGTGAATGCACTGTTGAAGATTAGTCATCTTGGCATCCCTGCCTTCCAATGAGATTTGATCATGACACCCCAATACACAGAAATTATGACAAACTGCTGCTTTTCCTTTTCAACCAGAAATAAAAAGAAGATAAGTTCCCAGGCTGTAATAGGTAGGAAAGAGTCGGGTGTGCGCTGTTTCACAAAACCTTACTCTAATGTTAATAATGTGAGACTTAATTAACTATTTGATATTGTGTTCCAACCTAAATTTTATTTTTTTTCTGGTTCCACAGATTTCAGTTGTGTTTGTTATTATGGAGATTCCTATCTAGAATTTCAGAATATATTTTTAAATCCACAAAATAATATATCCCTAGAATTTCAGACCTTCAGCTCCTATGGACTCCTGCTCTACATCAAGCAAGACTCAAATTTAGTAGATGGATTTTTTATTCAATTATTTATTGAAAATGGTACTTTACAGGTAAGCCATTAAGTTTATTTAATTTAAAGTAAATTTTAGGAATTAATTCTGATTTTTTAAAATGTTCCTCTTTCTAAAGTAATATAATTCATATACATAATTTAGTACAATGTCTGATACCATAAATAAATGTCAAACAGATGTAAAAGATTAATAGTAGTAGCAGCATTTTTATTCATTCCTTTATTTGTTCACTCATTCATTGAACATTTATCTGTTATCATTCACTTTGCTAGGTTCTAAGGATTCAATGGTAAATAAAACACACTTTGTTCTCCTTATGTTGCTTCCAACTTATTACCAATAATAATAACAGGTAAAATGAAAGCAAGAAAATAGAATTATGTAATGAATAAGGTACTAGAATAAATCATCAAACATCAGTCTGATCTAAGATAAAGTTTGCTGATCTCTGGTCTACAGCATTTTTCTTAACTAAGACCAGAAATTTTTTATAATGAACAGAATAAAATATAAAGACAAAATGTAAGAAATTATAAAGCAAACATAATATTGAGCATTTGTCATGTTCGGAATGTTTCCTCTCAGCACATTTTTCTGCTGCCAACTCAACTGCCATCACTGAGTGTAACTCAGCTGTTCCTCTCACCACTGAGGACATCTCCAATCAGAGACATTGCAAGAACATCCAGAGACTTTTCAGAATTGTGGGCAAAAATATTTTGTGAAATAATGGATTGGGAGACTTTTTTCACTTTCAAATAGATACAAATAAATTCATGATAAGTTGAACCAAGACATTTAAGAATTGTAAAATGCAATGGGCAAAGAGAGGTATAGAATTTCTTTCCTTTAGGTTTTATGACAAAGAAAGGATATATAGTGGCATGTCTATAATATTAATGACTATCACTTATTGACTTGCATTATGTGTCAGGCTCAATCTTAATAACATTTACTAAGACCACAGACTCTGGAGCTAAACTGTTAGAGTTTCAATCCCATCTCTACCCTTTTAGAGCTTTGAGATCTTACAAGATACTAAGGACCTTGTGTTAAATGTGCTCACTTGAAAATAAATGTAATACAATTTGTTGTCAGGTTTAAATTAGTAAGTGAATAAATATTGTGAAGTAAATGCAATACAGTGAGTAAATAATTAAGGCATATAAGCACATAGAAGAATGTCTGTGACAATCAAATGTGAGGGTGAGGTATTTTCTCTTTGTATCTCATAATGACCCTTTGGACAAACTAAGGCTGTCACAGAGTTTGGTATCATTATACTCTTCAATCTCTCTTAAGGATGGTAGATCAAGAATTTTTACTCTCTTATGTCAACATAATATCTATATTCTTTCCACCCACATCACTGCTTCCTTGCAATGATTTAAAGGAAATTTCAGCATTAGTCTATCTTTATAATTGAAATTTTTTTCTGTTCCCCTATGATTTGTGAGACTATGCTTCAATTACCTCATCTTGTCGTGGCCTATATGAGTAGGTAGGTTGGAGTATTTTCCCATCCACCAAAGTGTCATGGGTTTGACTCCAGTAAAGGCACATACCCAGATTGCATGTTCAATCCTAGTCGGGATGTTAGAGGGGCAACTGATTGGTGTTTTTCTCTTGCATGGATGTTTCTTTCTCTGTCTCTCCTTCTCCCTTCCTCTTTCTCTAAAAATCAATGGAAACATATCATAGGGTAAAGATTTTTTTAAAAAGTATAATCACATGGGGAATATATTTACATTACAATTTTAACAAAAAGACATATTTGTGGTTCAACTTTTACAATGATCACAATTTAAAACCTATTCAAATTCTAGAAATGCAGAATTGTTAGTCAGAATTTTTGAGGAAATTTAGGCTTTAAAGTCTTATTTATCGCCCTGGCCAGTTTGGCTCAGCGGTTAGAGCATCGGCCTGCGGTCCGGAGAGACCCGGGTTTGGTTCCCGCTAAGGACACGTACCTCGGTTGCAGTTTGTCTCCTACCCTGGTTGGTCGTGCGGGTGGCAGCCACTCGATGTGTCCCTTCACGTCGATGTTTCTCACTCTCTCTCCCTTCCTCTCTCTCCCTCCCACTCTGTACAAAAAATGGAAAAAATATCCTCGGGTGAGGATAAAAAAAAAAAAGTCTTATTTATCAAACTTAATTAAAAAATATTTTATTGTCTTTCTCTAAAAACAAATAGGTAAGTAGATACATCCATAGTCAGCACTCAGATATCAGCCTCCCAACTTATTAGCTGGGTCACAAATCACTATTTTTTCCTGGCTGGGCACAAATCACCTTAGTTTCCATCTCTGTTTAGTGAAGATAGTAAAAGGACAATTCTCATTTCATAGATTTTTGTTTATTTGTTTTCTTTTGTAAGGAAACAATCAGTAGACACTTGTAAAGTGTGTTAAAAATCCATGATAACAGAGTAGTTGGTCAATAGAAGCAAATTCTGTTTTCTATACAATTATAAAAGAGCTATTTATAATAAAATAAAAATTTAAGTAAAATTAATAGAATTGTCTATTAAATATTTTATATATGTTTAATGTTGACATCCCTGAAGATAATAAAAATTAATAACTTTGTTGTACCTGAAAAATAATTTTAAATATTTTAATATTTAAATATTTTAAATATTTTAATATTTAAATATTTTAATAAATTAAGGAGACTATTCTTCCTATACACACACATTCCTATATACATTGTTGGTCAGTACATTATCATTTAAGCTTAAATGACTATCTTAACTAACAACATGGATTTCCAAGTGTTATACATAAGAAACAGATAAATTTGTATCTATGCTGTCAAAAATATTAAATGTATTCTTTGGTCGCATCAGTTGTATACTTGTCAGAGGGTAAAAATTCGGTAAACAAACACAGAGTTTTACTTAAGTTTTGTGTGAGAAAACACTTGAGAAAATGTATACCCAAATATCATGCAATTTATTTTCCTGCAAAGTGCATAAAAGTGTATTTGTTTTTATTTTATTTTTTTATTAATTAATTTTTGTTACAGATGTTTCTCCTTTTCCCCCCACTGATTTCCACCTCCCCCTCCCTCCCTGCCCTTTCCCCAGTCTGCTGTCCATGTCCACTGTCCATGCATACATGCATGTAAGTTCTGTGGTTTATCTCTTCCCCACCCCCACCCCCTATTTAGGGGATGGTCAGTCTGTATCCCATTTCCATGTCTCTGGGACTACCCCCTTCCTCAGACTGTTATGTTCATTATATTCCACAAATAAGTGCGATCATATGAAACTTGTCTTCCTTTGTTTGGCTTGTTTCACTTAGGATGATACTTTCCAGGTCCCTCCATGTAGTCTCAAAGGATAAGAGGTCTTTCTTTCTTACAGCTGTGTAGTATTCCATTGTGTATATGTACCACAGCTTTTTTTATCCATTCGTCTATTAAAAACCTCAGTACTGTTTAAAGTATTTCTTAAAGTGAACCTGGAGCAGATAATTTTATAAATGAAAGAAACCTTTTGTAATGAATAAATATCATTAAAAATTTAAAATCCATAGCACTATATTCACCTTTGGATAACATGTAGGGAGATTTTAATATATCAATCTAATATAGCTAGATGCACAGGAGTTATGAAACACTCCAACATTTTTGTTTAACTTATATGTGTGTTACAGATATCTTACAGATATGATAAAAACAATAAACCCTTTTCCTGGGAAAGAATGGCCACAGTACAACCAATATACATCCCAGTGCATGCTGTTAAGATAAATAGGCAGTGCAGCCCACTCATGAAATTCCCAGAGGTATCTGGTCAAACATACCAGTTATAGATGTGATTTTCCCCTTTAAACTATAACTCAGTTTGCCCAATTGGCAACAATCCTACACATGGCCATAGGCTTCCTCATGCCTTAGAAAGCTTAGAATGTATAGTTAATTTTCATAATCTTTTTGTTATTGTTGTCAGTCCTTACCCAAGGAAAGGATTTTTTATTTCCATTGATTTTTACAGAAAGTGGGAGGGAGGGAGAGAGAGAGAGAGAGAGAGAGAGAGAGAGAAAGAGAGAGAAACATCACATCAGTTGGTTGCCTCCAGAGCACACCCCAACCGGGGCTCGGAATCCAACCAGCAACTCTTCAATGCTGACGCTCTAACCTCTGAACCACACTGGCCAGAGCTAACTTTCATAATCAAGTTTTCCTTCCTGTGACATTAACATCACCCTCTATAATGTATGCACTGGTCTTTGCATTGCCCAGTTGTTAATATCTAAGGAAAATTGCCAATAATACTTGCTCCCTGCTGGCAGAGGAACCTGTCTTTCCCAACCAGGTTACCCAGAATACTGGAAAAGAAACGAGAGAGAGAGAGAGAGAGAGAGAACATGTGTATGGTGTATATATGTATGTAATATTTATACATTTACGTATTTTAATTCTAGCACTTATTAGTTGTATATCTTAAGTTGTCATTTCTCTTTAAGTTTCAGACTTCTTATCTCATAACAAAATAAAATAAATTATTGGTGAATTGTACAGTGCAATGCAAAGATATAAGATGTTAGTTTCACACTGAAAAACTGAGAAAACTCTTTTTCCCCATAGTACCACTTTTTCTGTGCTGGTGAAGCAAAATTGAAAAGCATTAAGACTACTATTAAAGTGGATGATGGACAAAAGTATTCGCTGCTTATCAGGTAAGATATACTTATTTTCTTTTCCACTTAATCTTTTAAGTAGCAAAGACTTCCTCTGGGTATTGTTCTTGCCATTTTAAAGTGGAGATTATCCTGATTAGTATTCACATGCACTTGTAGGTGAATTAATGTTTATCAAACCATTCTCCCTTTTCTAAATGCCCTTAAAATAGTACTGGGGAAAGAATGTTCTAAGGGTTATATTTTCAACAAACTTATATAAGCAGATTTCCAAAAAAGCCATGAAAGCCTTATATTGTTTTCCACTTAGAGGAGTCATGAAAAGAAACTGGTATTTCTTTGGCTATTAAAATAAAATATATTTACTGTAGAAAAGTGGGAACATCCAGAAAAATCATAAAGAAGACAACTAAAATTATCTGTTATATCATAGACTAGATAAAATAATTAACATGTTATTATATTCCCAAAAGCCGTGTTTGAAGGTGACTCTATCCCCAAACTCTCACAAACATCAGGTATTATTTTGCCAATCTGATAAGTGCAAACAACATTTTCCTTAATTTGCCACCTTCGATATTTTTGTAAGGTTTAAATTTTAATATAAATTTAGTGTCTCTTTGTTATGTATTTTGCCTCTTCCAACTTTAAGTGACATTTTAAAACATGTACAACCATTCTTATTCAGTATGTTGACTGAAGTAAAGTATTTGGTTAAAACGATAGGTTATTATTTAATAAAAATTTCTACTTAAGGCCAATAAAAAAGAAAGTAAAGAGGCCAAAACAGAGACAGGCAAAGAAGTTAAAGAAGAGGTTTTAAGGAAGTTCTACCTTCCTTAGACCAGAACTACCTGAATCCTGATGTCTAGAATACAGATTGTTAAGAACATTGACCCCACAGCAGTCTGTTATCAACAAAACTGAGGAAAGGCTACATGACAGACACCTCTCCTGGCTACTCAAAGTGCACGTGAGCATTTTAGGACCTCTCAGATCCTGTTTAGTAAAGTCTCAGAGTTTTTACTTAACACAAAACATGCACAGAACCCTTAACATTTTTTTAAGCATTTTAACCTCTTGAGTAACCAATGTTGGGGGCAATGCACTGTAAGAAATGCCATGCTAACCAAGGTGATAACTTCTGTGGACAGAGACTGCATTGTTTGGAGGAAAAACAGGTATATGAGCATTGGAGCAGCAGAAGGAATCGTATCACAAAAGACATATTTTGGCTCCTCAAGGAAAAAAAAGACAAATGAGAAGTGATGGGAGAGATAGAGAGGTACACCAGAAGAAGCTATTCTGGTCTGGGGTATGTTGGAAAAGATTCCAAAAAAAATGAGCCCTAGCTGGTGTGGCTCAGTTGGTTGGAGCATCACCCTGTGCATCGAAGGGTCATGTATTCCTGGTTAAGGCACAAACTTAGATTGTGGGTTTGATCCCTGGTTTGGGCACGTACAGGAGGTACCAGATCATTGTTTCTCTCTTATATCCATGTTTCTCTTTCTCTTCCCTTCTCCCTTCTTCTCTTAAAAAAAAATAAAATAAATAAAAATACCCCACATCTCCTTTTGTGAGGATTAAATATATAAATGAAAACACAATTATAGTTACAGTTTATTAAACACCAATTTTGTGTCCAGTAGTAATTCTATTACATATATGGATTTTTGTTTCAAAAAGCAAATTTAATTATCAACCACATTCCCAGATGCAAACCTGACAGATAAAGAGATTAAATACAGAAAATGACATAGTTAGAAAACAGCACAGTTCCAAGACTACTCCTACTACAAAACCTCTGAATAACTTTTAAGTCATGGGCCCTTGGACCCATGCTATAGAATACGATTTGATCTTTTCTGCTGCCTTGAAAGGACTTCTGTATGTTCAAGATAAGATAAATACAAGAATTATAAATTATTTACCCAGTAAATAAAACTAACAGCAGCAAGAGCAATATTAATCAGCACACATTAAACAACTACCCTGTGCCAGATGCTTTACAGACACATCACTGTGTCTGATCATCAGAAAACAATGCCCATTGTATTGGTTAGGATGGGCTGCTGTCACAACCTATCACATATTGTGTGGTTTAAACAACAGAAATTTAGTCTAAGATGAAGGTGTTGGCAAGGTTGTTTTTTCCCGAGGCCTCTCTTGTTGGCTTGTAGATGGCTGTCTTCTCCCTGTGTTCTCACATTATATTCCTCAATATGTATCTGTGTCCTTGTGTCCTCTTCTCATAAAGACATCAGTCATGTTGTATTAGAATTTAACTAATGAACTCATTATTGCTTTGAAGACCTTGTCTTCAAACATAGTCACATTCTAGAATACTAAGGGTTTGGACTTCAACCTAATGAATTTTTGGGAGACATAATTCAGACCACAATACTCATTTTGCATATTTGAAAGTTGAGACTCAGAGAAGGTAGACATTTTTCTTGATAGTCTGAGGGAGTGTATAGATTAGGGCCAGGTCTCCTGCTTCCTGACATGATAGTTCTTTTCCTACTATAACGTGTTTAGTCTGTGTTTTAAAAGTGACAACATAGCCCTGGCTAGTGTGGCTCAGTTGCTTGAGTGTCACTCTGTGCACTGAAGGGTCATTGGTTCAATTCCTGGTCATGGCACATACCCAGATTGTGGGTCTGGGGTGCACACGGGAGGCAACCAATTGATGTTTCACCCTCACTTCAATGCTTCTCGCCCTCTCTCTCCCTTCTTCTCTCTCTAAAAAGAACATATCAGTAAAAATATATATTAGAAATAAATAAAGTGACAACATATTACATAAAGTATTCTTAAAAGAATCATTAAATGTGAAACATTTAAAAGATCTCAAGAATACCTCTTTTCACGATCCTCATTACACATCACTTTTAAGAATACTTGACAACAACCCAGATCAGTGTGTCTCCGGGGATTGAGCCAGTCATCCCATGGACTGAGAGGTCTGGGTTCAATTCCAGGTCAGAGCATATGCCTAGGTTGTGAGCTCGGTTCCCAGCAAGGAGCAGCCAATCCATGTATCTCTCTCACATCAATGTTTCTCTCTCCCTCACTTCCTCTCTCTCTAAAAAAATCAATGAAAATGTAGTTTTTAAAAAAAAAGAATACTTGAAAATAAAAAATATCACTTTTCTTTTGTTATATGACTTGTTTTTATTTTTGCAATTTGTATGCACTATCACTTTTTATTTTTAGCAAAAAGTAGTCAATAATCTGTCTATATCTGGTTTAAATTACTCGTTCAGAAATATTTCTTCACAATTCCTTGGTGTTTTTTTTTTTGGTTTTTTTTTTTAAGTAATGAAAATTTCAAGAAATCTCTCTCTTTTTTTAGATTATCATCTATAAAGAATGAGAGTGGGGCTCCATTAATTTTAGTTTTCTACATCTTTAAAATATACTTCTAGAAGTAAACAAGAAAAACAACTTCAATTTTCAGTTTAACTCAATTCAAGAATGCTGTGGCCATGACTTTTTATGGCCAGTAACATACTCTTTAAAGTCAAGGATTAATTGTATGCACACATTTCACGCCTAACTCCACACTCCATCTTGTTTCTGTTGGATAATGACATGCTCTTTGAAGAGAAATATAGAAGAAATGTTCTTCCTCACATGCTCATATGAAATTGTGAGGAAAAAGAACAGCAAGTTTGTGCTCGACCCATGATGATGGGCTCTCTCAAAAAGAAGGAAACTAACATTCCCTGTGAAAAAGGAACAGCGTTTGTTATCATTTAGAACAAGGAAAGACAAGGTGGTTCTGCAAAGTCGCATGGCCCTTTTGAAAAAGAAATGTGTGATTGCCTAACCTAACAAAAGCAGGAAGGAAAACAGGAGAGCTTAAATCAGGTGATCCACATGGTGGCATAATAAAGATACTAAAAACACACACATTGAAAACAAATTCGGTGAGAAATTAGCCATAGCTGTTGCTCATCTTTTAATGAAAGGGAAAGTGAAAATGGGACCAAGCAATGATGTTAGGCTGCTGAACAAAAGCATGTAGCACATCAAGAGGGAAAACAAACACAAATAGATATGTGTTTATCACCTACTCTTCTAAACCGGGGTGTTTGTGAGCACGAGATGGCGAGGGAGCTTTACATAGTGGTACATGTGTTCTCTGGCAAACACTACTAGGACAGTGTGATGTTGTACTTTATCCATATCTATTGTTAAATTTACAATACATGCATGAGTCATATTGATTACATTATTAATATACCACATATATTATCATAAACATCATTATTTTCATTATATCATATATAATATAATCATACATAATATATTACATTATTGTATTAAATGAGCATATTTCCCCCACCCCCATTTAAAGTCTAAATTAACATATGCCTTAGTTCTTGAAGAGAGGTCAAGTTCAGAATTCAAAGATAGAAACAGATTAGTCTCTTCTGACCTCCTCAAATATGGGACTTGAAAGTTTTTTTTTAAGTTGCTACCATTAAAAATGCATCCATGCCCTGGCCAGTTTTGCTCAGTGGTTAGAGCGTCGGCCTGCGGTCCGGAGAGACCCGGGTTCGGTTCCCGCTAAGGTCACGTACTTCGGTTGCAGTTTGTCCCCGGCCCTGGTTGGTCGTGCGGGTGGCAGTCACTCGATGTGTCCCTTCATGTCGATATTTCTCACTCTCTCTCCCTTCCTCTCTCTCCCTCCCATTCTGTCTGTACAAAAAATGGAAAAGTGTCCTCGGGTAAGGATAAAAAAAAAAAAAAAAAAATGCATCCATGCATTTAAAAAAATCCTTTAATTTGCTGCCCTAATCTTAAACTCCTAGTCTACATCCTGGTTTGTAATTAAATTGCATAAACTCTGCCAGTCCTATTAAAGTTGTCCCATGGAGATTTTGTTGGTTTAGCCCTATTTTGCGGTGTTGGCGGCTCCTGTACTAAGAGCTGTACAGAACCAAATAAACAAGAACAAATGAGCAACATCTTAGTTACCCCTGAGAAAATTATTTATTAGTTACTGTTTACATATAGTCATGTGAATATGC